GGGCAAGAGGAAGAGACCTAACTGAAAAACAACAAAAAGTTGTGCCAAGGCCCTCCTAGCCATGACTGCCACCTGCTTTTCGAGGCAGGGAGGTTGCTACGCAGCAGGGACATTGGTACAGAAGCAAAACTCCCGACTGATCCCATGCGCCCATCCTCAGGAACAGGGTCTCACATCCAGCAACATGTGGAGCAGAGCCCCTGAAGGCCACCAGAGATTCCTGGATGACCACTGCCACACCCCCTCCCCTGCCCTGGGGTCTCAGCTGGTGCCAAACCCTAGACCTGGCAGGCCACTTTTCTGAAAGGGAAACACCCCTTTCTGTTGTCAGCCAGGTCTCTAACGCAGGCCAGGTTGTCCTGCTCCCCCCCCATAAGGACATGAATAAGGGGGGAGGGGCTTATTATTGACTGACCTGGCATTCATCAGCAGCAGCTGAAAGCCCGGCCTCTGTAGGTCCACTGATGAGGGTCAGGGCTTGAGCCCAGAGGGCCAGAACACACCACTGGTGTAACACACTGGGGCCGTCTTCCCCTGAAACAGCCTGCCCTCTGGCTCCCATCATAATGTCCCATGCCACCCAGCACATGAATACCCGCCCTGAATCACCAAAGGTGACCCTCCACCCACCCTCCTGGCCTCAGACCTAAGAGGCCCGCCGTATCATAAACCATTCAGACCAAGGGGGAATATGGGGTGAGGGGAAATGGGCCCCTTTGGCAGTGCAGCTATCTGCTCTCAATGCCAACAGGGGTTAGTCTCCCCAGCTCCCCCTTCACTACCACGCCCCCTCTCTCAACCGGCCTCTCTTACTAGTTGGTGAGAAGAGGGCCACATCCACTCCTACCCTCTTCCCACCTCACACCCAGGAACAGGGTAGCACACTCATCAAGCATCCACAGACTGACTCACCTACTGACCCCACAACTACTCCAGTTCCCCCCGGCCTCTTCTCTGGTCATAAGGGGTACCCCCCTTGGCACATTACAGGGCTAAAACCCAGACCCCCCAAGGGTCTCTATGGGCTTTAGGCTCTGTGGGCCCTTCGGCTCTGGCCTCCAGCTCCACCATCACAGTTGGATCCGCCTCAGCCTTGCCCCTGGTGCTCTCATCGCCACCACCCTGCCACCACCATGAGCGCTGCCTCCAAAACCCACAGAGTTGGGCATGGGCCTTGGCTCCTCAGCCATTCCTGGCCCAGCTGGACTGACTTTTGCCACCGTCCAAACTGGCCTAGATGATGCAGCCTCAGCAGCCACCGCCAGCACTCTCCCGCGGCCACCGCAGCGATCACAGCCACCGTCGTCCCCTTGGGTCCAAGTGCTGCCCACTGCCACACACATACCCATTGCTCATTTCCTCTCCTTGTTGTCCTCGGCCCAGCCGCCACCACCGCAACTCTCCTCCCCACCATGACAGCCAGCATCAGACGGAGTAACGCTGGGGGTTCTCTACATTCACCTCACATTCAAACTCCATACCTCCATACCTCCTAACCCCCATGCCGATCATGGCTGGGAGCCTCGCGCTGGGGATGCACTCCCTGCTGCCTTCTTGTTCTTTTTCAATCATTTAATTTTCAGAATAAGTAACCAAGGCACCCACGGACAAAACTGATTCCTACCTGCAGGGGAAACCTGTCTAACGGAAAAGAAATACCTGCCAAGCCTCCAGCCTTGGAGCTTCCACCATCATACCCCTGTTCCTCACCGATCTCTTGGGTCTGGATACAGATGCTGAATGTAAGGCGCGTCCCACAGCCCAGATCGTGTTGTGAATGAGAAAGCCATCCACAGCCTGGATCCGATCAGTCTCCTCTTGGGCCCGAGGCTCCAGTTCTTCTCTCTGTCTGCACCGTCTCCAGGCTTTCACCGAAAAGGCATCCTTAGTGGATGAACACATAAAGGTTTTCTTTACAAAGTCATGCATGGATTCGTAAAAGAGGGGAAAAGCATCATAGTTTGCCCATTTCCTTTTCTGTATCAGAAAGGAAAAAATGCCCCCAACGTATTTAAAGGAAAAGGTACTGAACATAAACTCAAGACTGAGATCCCAGTGAGCTGCAGTGATCCAGATTTTTTCTACAGCATCTTCCTGAAAATCTTGAAGTAGCGTATGTACAACCTTTAGTCCTATTTGGAATGAATTAGTCTCTGCACCGTAAACAATGACATTGACTTCTCTCCACTTGAAATATTCTTTAAATATTACATCCATCTGACCCTCATTTACTGTAAAGCTTTGGTACATAGCTGTACAAATGCCATTCCTGATCAGCAGGGAAGTCAGCGTTGTCATGAATTTGTGCCCCTGGTCAGTGTCTGGGGCAAGGAGACCCACCAAGGTCCACCTGAAATGGAGGAGCAGCTTGACCATCCCTGAATACTGGAATCCTTTAGCAGGGAGCATCGGGTAGAAGAAAGGAAACTGATTTTTATCCCTTAGAATCTGGGAAACAAAACTGTAACTGATCTGAAAGGA